CAGTTAAAAATTTCGCGCACCAGCGCATGAAAGCTGAATTCGAAACCTTGAAAGGTGAATATCTTTCCGTTATTCCCGAATTAATAGTTTACCTGCCAAAATTTTCACAAGGCCATAGGTGATACTCAAGAGCGCGAGAACGCTGAACTTGAATAGGCAAGGTTGAGCGTGGGCAAGGGCCACTACCCTAAAATTTCAGCCTCCTAGACACCATGGTTCCCGAGATATTAATTTACCCGTAAAAAAATTTCACGAGGCCGTACTTGTTACCCGTGAGTACGGGGGAGCTGAATTTAAATTTGCGGGGTCACACTTGGGTAGGGGACGTTCCCATAAATTTCCAGCGCTTTTCCTAGCTTTTGTGGTTCCTGAGTTGAAAGTTGCGGACAAGTTGCTGCGGACACACACACACACAACCCCGTGACAATATGCGTTTTGTACTGCTGTTACACAGTACAAAACGCATAAAAAGTCACCAGGACGATCCCATACGCTGGGCAAGTTATATTTGTCTCTCGATCCTGAGCTGTATATCTCCAGCTATTAGTCACCGCCTGCGTCACCTCGCTGTAGATTGCCTGAGTGTCCGTTTATTTCTCTACACTCACCACTTACTGATGTACGATGTTCTCCAGTTGTTAACAAAACCAGCGACATGGTCCCTCTTTCAGACATTACTGTTCTGCGTGGTTGTAATGATATTCTGCACACTGTCCATCTGATGCAGAGGCTGACCACATATTTGGTTGCGAAGAAAAAATTCTGACCTCCTCTTCACTGGCTTCCTTTTTGTCTTTATGCATAGTCCACTGACTATGTTTTGCATCCGTATGTCATAGCATCCAAGAGATGAGCACTCCTTTCACTATGATACTTCAGGCGGTCGTTGATGTTGGGGACTGCATCAATTAGCAACCTGTCTACATGCATTTTTGTCTAGAGTTTGTGACAAAAATTTACTTCTTGGCCAAAATGGGCGTAATTTCCATCTTCTTCCAAGACAAAAGCATATGCAAATTGTCTGCGAGCAATTATCTTCGTTTCCGATTGGTTAATTTTCAAGTTCACCTCCTCACTTCGTCCGCCAACTTCTTGCCAACTCGCAAGAACTGCCCTTTTGTCTTCCGAGACTCGTGAGGAATTCTCCTTAATCGCACTGTTGTCGCTAGTCGTGCTAAAGCAAAAAGCTGAACGATTCTGAGCATATTATTCGAAACAAGAATCAGCAGAACTCGCCACGGGCGGAAATGGCAGACAAAGTGCGACTAATTCTTGTTGGCGGCAAATCCCTCTTCGCCAGCACTCTTCTGCTCTTCTTTACAAACAAATTGCTTGATTATGTATTCGGCTTTTCGCCCTCACTCACAAACGTTGCGAGCATCACATAATGTTTCATCATTTTCCCAGGATAGACAGCCCAAAAGTTTATCTTCTGGTACCGACCTACAGCTGTAAGGCCATATCAAGAACCTCGGACAGTTCCCCGATAATCTTCGTTGACTACTTGAAACTTTGAGCAACCCCTTGCCATTCGACTGCCGTCCCACCGTCATAGACTGAGCAAAAAAGGGCTCAGAGCAGAAGAATTTGTTTTTTAATCACTTTTTTGTTGTTTTTTATAATACGCTTTAGCGCATATTTTGCGTTTTGTGCTAAGCTGCACGAACCACAATTCACTACCACTTAGGCCAATAGTGGCCAGTACTGCTCAAGCTTATCCGGACCAGATGCGGCAAACACCTTTCTGGTCACACTTGCAACCATTACAGCCACTGCGCTGTCTTGTCTTAACAGCACTTAGCCTGTATGCTCTCCACGCGACAGGTTGTTTAGTTCGAAATTTTGCGTAATCACACTTATCACAGTACGAATAAAAATTAGTTTTCCGCACTTTTTCAAAATCTTTTTTTCTTCCTTTCTTTTCCTTTCCCTTTTCACCCCATTCTCACTCTTTCAAATCCCACAGACATACCGCTTCCCCTTTCTTCTTTTCGTCTTCCTCTTTCGTTTTCCATTAAGCACTGCGACTGTCATACCAAGGAGATCCTGTCACGGTGTTGAGTGAAGGCGTATAAGACTTGATGGACCGAAACGTCTTATCTCATTCTTGTCTTCTTTTTTCATACTTTTCTTTCTTCCTGTATTCTATAGCGCCTTCGCCACTTAGGCTTCCAGGGTCAACCTGGTTGCTACAGTCGGCTTAATTGAAGCCATCCGAACATCACAGCCAGAGAGAGAGAGATACGTTGAAATTTTATTCAGATCTAATTCACAATAAGCATTCGATAGGAGAAAGGCGAGGCCTCCAGTTGGGAAACCTACGAAGATCCACGAAAGAAAAACTGCTCGAAATAGGCGAGGAACAAAATTACCTTTGGGATAGTTCTGTGTAAAATAATTGTATGAAAGACTGCGGAAACTGCATCACGTATCTGGCGTTCATCAGCTGTCTGAAAATCGACAGCATTTGTAAATCGCAAGTTTATAAAACGTCCAAAAATTAAAATTAGGATTTTTCAAAGCCATTTTGTTGCAGTGTGAGAAAATCTCTACAGAGTTTGGTGTGCCGACTGGGTGTATACGATAATTGTGATACGACTGCAACCACTACGAGGTGCAAACACAACCGAAGCAAACGGTAAACGAACATAGAAACGAGGGATAATGGAAAAATCGAGTCCACACAAGCACATACGAACATAGGCATGCGTTGAAAAGAAAAATGCCCGACAAAAAAGAGACATGTACAAGTGACTTACCAACTGAAACTGATGACTTCGTGCATTCATACAAAACTAAGTCTGCAATAGAACGAAACACAATTACACAACAGCAAAACACATCACATTCCCCTTCCCTCCCCCTCCCCCTTAATTTTATCCCCCTTCAAACACAGTCAAAATTCAGGCATCGAAATAGCGGTGAAAATATTGGCAGAGCGAGGCTATCTAACCAACCAGGAACCGGGAAACAGCTACCAAATCTACAACTTGCAATTGGGCGAATAATTGGAATCCATGAAAAAGCAGTCTATTTATAGTGCGGCAATTCGTGATATATTTATTCCAATTGCCCCGGGGCAGTACTGCATCGCCGGCTGACCGCCCCTTTGGTCATCTGAAGGGATTATCAGCTCAGTGGCTTCTCCCAGAAGCATTTAATGGATTCGAGGTGTTACTGGCGTGTACTGTGTACCGTCCAGTTTCTCTCACTCATGCAGGTTACTAGGAAGGAGAAGCGCCCTTACGTGCACCTAAATTAGCACAACGGCACCCGAGTTGCAGCAGTGAACACCTGAAGACTACCGGAGGGCGGGGCGAGATGGGGCGCGGGAAGGGGAGGAGGAAGGGAGGGGAGGAGAGCCTACTCCAGTCCTGGAACTGTGCAAAAACTAGGAATAGAGTTGTAACACACTGCTACTTAGAGTTACTTTAGGCTTTTGTTTTAGCTTTAGACCCCCGAGCTTTTGCAGCACTGCTGCCCGCGTCACTGGGGGATAAGCGGCAAGAGGAGGGAGAAGGGGAGGGGGGCGAAAGATGGAAGACCGCTGTGGCAAAGCAAACCAGCACCGCAAGCGTTGCATGTACTTGGGAGTGTCCGCTACGGCAACTGCTCATCCCGGATATCGAGTTGCACTGCAGCGCGGTGTGACCGCGGACCGCAGCGGTAGAGCGAAGGGGGGAGAGGGTGTAGTGAGCCTTCGCATAGGTGCGCACCTCCAAGCGACTCCCAGACCGCTCTTCTCTTGCCCCCGGGAGTGCCCCGTCCTGTGACGCGCTGCAGCCCGAACCACGGAAGTGCCACACCAAGGTGGGCACAACTCACACAGCCCCATCTCGCCCAGGCCTGCCTTTGCAGTTCCTGGCAATTGTTTGCGAGGGTAGCAGCATGCTGCGAATGCGATGCAGCGAGCCCCTCCGGTCCGCAGCCCGCACTCTCTCTGTTGCTCTCCCTCTCTTCGGCCGATGGTGCACCGTTGTCCTTTGGTGTGTACCGAGTCTGTTGAGGTACACTCAGTTCCGGTGAGGGTTCGCTGGTGAGCTGCTGCTGCTCCGACCTACTTCCGGCACTGCACGCCTCAAGCTCAGGTCTCATGCGCTGCGCAGAATCAGTCGATTGCCATCTTAGATCGGCACCGTGCCAAATGTGCCATACCCAAATTACCAACTCTTTCCTGCCTTCGTGGACTACACGGACACTACTTCGTAACCTTTCGTTCGCTTCGCTCAATCAACACTGGAAAAGGAAGGGAAGGGATGTGCCCAGGCAAATGTGATATGCTTCCTTCTCCCCTCCCTCCGTCCCTCAAACAGCTCTCTTTAGCATGCGTGTGAGTTTCCTGCTTCTGGATGCAATTCATCTGACCTATATTTCTGGCAAATGTCAAATCAGGGGCATCGTTAGCCGACTTGAGGATCGCCTGATACAACTTCTACGCATTTCTGGTGTGATTTGCGACCGCACCATGATTTACCGCACTGCACGGCGCCACCAATGCGGGTTACCTCGTTGGACGTTTGGTCGGTCTATCATATCTTCCTTCTCGCAGTTAGTAGTAAACCCAGGCTGGAACGCACTAGGCGTCCCCGTGCATCTTTGCATCGCACCTGAGGTGCCCAGGTCATTAACTGCATGAATGATTATTGCTTTTATCGCGACCCCAAATTTTTAACTTATTAGGCTAGTGTGTGTCCCGGTTGTAGGAGTATATAAGTGTACGACGTCGTGTCCTATATACATCTTCATTAATACACAGTGAGTTAAAGAGATAATGCATACGAAGGTGGTGAGACTCTGGGGAGCCAAAGCTCCCCAGAATAAGAGTATTAGTTAAATAGAAATAGGTCACAGTGGTGGACAGGTAGTGGCGGTACCGGCGATGGGGAAAAGTGCTTTTATACCCCAGGCGACAACGATCGAAAATTTCAATGAGGGCAGGGTGGTCAAAGTTTGAACCAGGGACAGGGGTATTGCGTCATAGTAACGCAATTGTTCCTACTTTTAACAAGAAACCATTAACAAGAAATCATTGTTTGATATATTATACGACACTTTACACCTACTTTTGCGGTCGCTAGCATAAATCACCATAAATTTTGCATAAAGTAAATGTGCAGTTTACATTTAACGGCTGTTCTTTAAAAGTAACCTAGCTGTTCAATGAAAAATTTTTCCGCCAAAACTTTAAGTGACCGTATTTAAGAACCACGCATACCTCAAGGCTGAATTTGAAATATCTGAACTGTACTTGAACAGAGAACATTCCCCCAAAATTTCAGCCTACCAGCTTTCCTGGTTGCCGAGTTAGCAATTTTCCCGCCAAAATCTTCGTATGCCCGTACGTAGGTACTCCACGTGCCGGGGAAGCTGGATTTGAAATTTTTAAGTTGTACGTGGATAGGAAACATCCCTCTAAAATTTCAGCCTTGCAGCTTTTCTGGTTGCTGTGTTAACAGTTCTCCTGCGAAATCTTTCACGTGCTCACACGTGAGAACCATGCATAACTGAAGGCTCAATTTGAAATATTTAAATTGTACTTGGAAAGGGAACGTCTCCCCAAAATTTCAGCTTTCTAGCTTTCTTGGCACCCGAGTTAGCAACTTTCCCGCCAAAGCTTTTATACGCCCTTATGTGAGTACCACGCATACCTGGGGCATGAGTTTGAAATCTTTAGCTAGTACATGTACAGGAAATATCCCTAGAAAGTTTCAGCCCCTTAACTTGTCTGGTCCCGAGACCGCATTCCCGCCAAAAAATTTGCGCACTTTTCTTAAGCGTCCGTACGCGGTGCGCGGGCGTCCGCGGAGAATGATATTAAAACGGGAGAATCGCGCATAATATGTGCACACGCTGCCAAAGTTTCAGCCTTCTAGCTTTCCTTCTCGAGTTGAAGGTGGATGACAAAAAGTGCAAACACACAGACACACACGCCCGCACGCACACACACAGACACACACACACCTCTTCCCAATATGCGTTTTTGCAATTTGCATATAGGCAAGGGTGCATAAAAATTTGCCGTTACTAACTTTAATTTTATGGAAGCCTAAATTGCTGAGGGAGTGGAGTGCATTGTCAGGGTGGGGAAGGTGTGATAGACAGCTTTGGGTGCATGCACTGAGGAGGGGATATGTGCAGAACATTGAAAGCATGCATGGAGGACGCGTACAAAACGATAGATATTCAGGTACGAGGAATCGCCTTGGCCGAAATGAGCGACAAGAAAACGGTCCGCACCTGCACGATTATCAGTACACCCAGCGTGCAATCAGCACACAGCCTCTTCGATTCTTGCCTGTGACCCGTCCCTATAAGCACTTAAGATGCGGGGGGAAGAATCGCGTAGGCCCGGGCCAGGCTACCTGCCCGCGCTAGGGTCTCATCGAGAGGCGCGCTTGCAGCGGCTTGCGAACGAGGCGCACCTGCGCTGATAAAGCGCGAAATATCGCTGAATTCTTTTACGATCTCGGTGACAGTGCACCGCGGATTCCCCTGGGAACGCGCCTCACATCTACCGCGGAGCAGCTGGCTTCGCTGTATCAACAGAAGTGATCCTTGCCTATTTTCGTGACTCTTCTGCCGTGCTACTAAGTACCTACTTTTGTGTCTCGTACAAGCTTTACAACCACTCAGGCACGGCTCCAAGTGAAGGCTTCATGTACATCCTCTACGGCTTGGGATACATCCGCAACCTTCTCCAACCGGCACCTGCTTCCTCCAAGCAACGATGTGAGTTCGTTCACTGACGATGGTTGCAGCTGCGAACTTAAGTTAGCTACACACATCTGCTCCAGGATCTGGTGCCCTTACTTCACCAAGAACTGAGACTCTCTCGTCCCGTTGTATCGTTTGCACGATGCATGCACAAGAATTTACCTCACTGCTCACCGGCTCCGCCGGCACTGCTTTGCGCCATCCCGAC